TTGTCCTTCTGATAACCACAACAACAATCCAAACCCTCAACCATCGCTTTCAGCTGAACCTGTATGACGTAACTTAGTGAGCACTTTACGTAACATTCGATCACAACGTCAAGCTAATAATAATTTGAATGGTGGGATCAATCAAGGATCTAATTCAACTTCTTTCAGGGTGTACAAATATGGCTTCTGTCAAATTTTGGAGAATTTGACAGAAGGCTTTGCAGAACAACAGAAACCAAAATTTTGGTGTGATCTGTTGTTCTGTTGCTCTGTCTGTCTTGATATTTGTAACAAACAACAGATCCCGCCAAATTTTGGTATCTGTCATTCTGTAAAACCTTCTATCAAACTCTCTGAAATTTGACAGAAGTCATATCTGTACACCCTACTTATCAGATCTGATCTCTAGATCTTCAATTCATGTTTATTTAGTTTATTGTGGTGCACCCCAAGCTGATTGTTCAATCTTTTCACATCCTCAAACTTTACCAAAAGGCTTTCAATTTGCTAATCCGACATCATCAAGTTCATCATCCTTATCAACAGGAACAACTAAAGGATGTGGAAAACTAATCAAAATTTGATCAATCAATCCTTCACATGCAGCTCGTAAACCAATTCCAAATCACAATTTGGCCCTGAGTCTGAGTACTTTTTCTGGATAAAACTCCACCGCCGACAAAACCATTGGCCCCCTCTTTACTGCCTAAAATTTACATGTTGTGAAGTCAAGATCAAGTTTTGCCAAACCTGCCTCTTGATCCAAGTCAAGGCCAGGTCGAGTCAGGCTCTGGAATTTATTCCAGTCCTGTACAACTGTGTTACACAAGTGTAACACTCAACTATTCAAATTCAAGTTTACATATGATCTAACAGCAACTTTGTGTAAGGTTGTGTGTAGTATTGTTAGACTCCTCCCAAACGCTGTGCATCAAACTGCGTGGTGCAAACTAGGTTTTGGAAAACCTTAAAAAGACAAAGAAGTGAAATTGAGATGTCACATTCATCTTAAAACTCAAAATTGGTTTTGAAGGTAGAGAGCAGCTTCACAGCGCCTGTAGTTTCATCCGCTCTCACAAGTGGTGATTCTCCCCCTATCTGGCTCAGCCTACGCTACACTGCATAGGAGTTCTACAACGTGAATTCATTCAGTCTTGTTTCCATGCAAGTCAGAAGATCGTGAATGGCAAAGTCAAATTGTCACTTTATAAAGGGAATGTGATTACTGATGGTAGAGTATTGGATAAAGGACTTTATGATGCTAGAGACAGTAGTATGGATGAGAGAGGTTGATTTGAACCAATTGATACTAGTGGGTTTATTAAAATGTGAGTTTGGTTCTTTAGTTTCTGTTTTTTTCGGGTTGATTGATTGATTGAAGACACCACAAGGCACAAAGTGGTGACATAGTCCATTCGTGTGAAAGGCTGAGGGCAAGTGTGTGAAAGGACAAACCATTCAGATTCCCAAAGTTAGAATTTGAAATCTCAGATCTGAAGATTTCAAACTCTAACCTTCCTCATTTTCACACTATTCCCTATTAGTCCTTTTCACAGCAACTATTTCCGCTGTGCTCATTTGCTTCTGCTCTAGAACTTGTCTTTTAATATTTTACAAATCTCATTCAAAGCAGTTCAGATTATAACTTGAACAATTCAACACAATTCAACTATAAACAAAATGGCATTTAGGAATCAAATAAACAGGGCTGCAAATAATTGACAACATAGATTGACTAGGGCAGAAGCAGCAGCAACAGGAGCTCAGTTGGAAGAAAGACTAGTGACACCAAGAAGGAATCGTCAGGACAGGCAAAACGAAAACAGATTGGAAAATCAAGACAGTGAAGAAAATTGGTCGCATGTACCATGAAGAAACCAAGAGATAAGAGAAGAAGACCAAGAATGGGGAGGGATAAGGGAGGAAGTGGAAGAAGAGCAAGATCAAAGCAATGATCAGAGAGATATCGATGAAATAAGTAACCAGATCAGAAAGGGTAAGAACACACTCACTGATTAATCGTTGTACCTTCTACTTCTCCTTCTCCACTTCTACTCCTATCAAATCTCTTGTTCGATAAGTTCGTTTCACCTGGAGCCACGTGGAAATTGACAAATCAATATGGACGTTAAAGCCTGGCCCAGCTGCTAATAGGCGCCCAGCCTGGGTCCGCTTACAGTAGGCACCATGCCTGGTCTGGCTCATGATAAGACCCAGCCAACTCGGGCTTACAATACGCAGAACTCCGGTACAAAAATCCCCCCTCTTAAGACTCCAAAGATCGTAAAGAGTAATCGAGCGCTGATGGTCAAAAGGGTTCTCTTGATCGTCGTTTTCAGAGGCTAGACAAGAAGCCTTAGTGGAGCTGATTCAGGACGCTTATGACCAAAACGATGAAGCCGGAGCGAGACTTCTAACTCAGAGGTTAAATCGGGAAGACAGCAAAAGAGATCCTGAAAATCCTTACGTAATGGTCGAGGAGTTGTCCAAGTCTTCAGAGGATGAAGCCAACGTCAGGTCAATCCTAGTGGCAGAGCCACATCCAAAAGCGCCAAGTGTAACCTCTGTTATGGAGACTCAACGCCAACCTCCGTTAGACGTGCACATGTCGGCCCCTGCCAAGTCCAACCCAACTCCAGAACAGACCGACGAATGGTTCCATGGCTGTAAAAGTCAAGAAGAGTCAGAAAAAGGAAGGTCCCTGTTGGCATCCAAGAAAGGTTCCCTAACCTTATTGAACGGCGATATGATCCATAATGGTCAAGTCCTACAATCAGGTCCTGCTAAAATGGGAGAAACCATCACTCCGCTCTCCCCTCACTTAACCGTGAAATTGAAAGGTCTGAAGTCCTTCATCCCTCTACACCACGACCCCTCCAAACCGGTTGATCAGCGGGTTTTTCTTTTCGGTTGATCAACCAAAATGGCATGGTGGCCAAAAACCGCTTTCCAACCATGCTCCGCCTATCCGCTTACAAACCGTGTTTCCAACACCGGTTTAGCACCTGTACTTTTGCAGGGTCACAACCTGTGTCAGGCAAGTTTATAAGCGGTTTAGAGGGTTTTTTGCTGGGCTCGCACGCAGCCCACATTTTTCTGCTTTACTGGGTCTAGTCGTGCTCTGGCTCTCAAATCTACGGTAATGAAGTTGTAAAACAAACACGGCATTTTATTCGCATGAACATTGTGAATACAAAGTTAACCATAAAATAGATAAAACAATGAGATGATACATTGAGAAGATGATAATAATGAAAAATCTAATATTTTACCTTGAAGTGGCAGACAATTGACATACATATGTGATGTAAATCAAGGATAAAGGTCTTACTCGTCCTGGTCCTTGTCCTGGTCCTTGTCCTCATTCTCTTCCTCTTCCTCTTCCTCTTGCTCTTGTTCTTGCTCTTGCTCATCATCTTCTTCTTGCTTGTCCTCTTCCTCTTGCTCGTCCTCGTCCTCTTGGCCATCATGTTTTCCGGCAGGTCTTTTTATTTGATGAAGAGCCTCTTCCTCTGGTACAGTTTTGCCCCAGGTTTCGTCAATATGTTTAATGACGTCACGGATAGCGGTTTTGTCAGGCACTGGGAAGGAGGTCAACTCTAAGGTCTCTTCTAAGGTCTTCTTGTCGCCAAATATCTCGCTGTCCTCAGTCAAACACAGGATTGCAAACCTGTGACAAATACGAAATGAATATGCTTATTGTCATACACAGGAAAGTGAAGACTTATGCGTGTTGGTACCTGCTGGACTGATCCCACAAATATCCCAATTTTTTGTCGACAACGCTCCACAGGCTTGCACCGTCCTTGTATTCGGCCTTGTAAAAGCCCCAATGTCAGGCTTGCAACCACTGAAAAAGAACCACCATTACACTACGCCAGATTACTAATTTACCATGGAGTTTAGAAAATTATTTTGACATAGAAAATTCAAGAAAATTTTCTAAACTCCTGAGATTAGAAAAGAAAATTGAACCCAAAAAGAGGCTTTTGCCATTTCTTCCTGGCACATGCTCCACTTCTAACATTTACACTACATGCATCAAAAATCACACGCCAAAGGCTTTTATAAAACCATAATGTTTTGCTGAGGGTTTGGAACTTTTGATTTATTTCCTGGAGTCTGTGTATATTTCTCACGAGAATTGGATGACCAGCACACCAAACAATGAACAAAAAATATAAGATACAACTTCCTTGTACACTTTAACACGATTGATTAGAAGAAAATAATAAAGACATCAAATTTTACAACTTTACAGCCCTTCCAAAGCTTTGATAAGGGGATCCAAAACAGGAGTTGGATCAAACTCCAGCTGGCTATATAGCAGATGATCTTCATCTTTGATATGATCTAGCCATGTTGAGGAATAGCAGTCAACAGGAAGTCCTGGAGGCACTGGTAGACTGCTGACAGGGGCATCATGTTGACGAATTCGAGGTCGAGGTGGGCGGCCAGTATGCTTCCTGATAGACTTTGGAATACTGGCTTTTCTTCGCTCCATATATGCATCGAGGAGGATACAAGCGTACCTTAACTTTTCACTTCTCCATCCAAGAATTCGTGCCACACAGGGTTGACCATTTCCATTGTTGTCTTCAACAATTACTCCAGCATCGGTCTCGTCATCCCTGCAGGCATTCTCAACAATTTCCGAAAGCTTCAGTAACTGATCTGGCTTTGAGAAGATTGCTCTTTCCCTCAATTTCTTCAACTGTGTTCAAGTCAGTTAGTTTCCCTGAAAAATGCATTACATCCAAAGAACAAAACTCACAGTGCGATGTCTGGCTGTTTGTCGGACCTTGCATTGCGATTTTTCCAATCTTATGGGGTCCCATGATTGCAAGCGATATCTATTAATGATTTAATCAAATATTAGTTACAGACTTGGGCAATCAGAAAGCATGACAATTGAACTTACCGTTTGGAAAGTGAACGAACATACGTATCCATAGACTTCTTGATCAATGCTTCATTTTTTCCTCCAACGGCAACCCCATTATACTCACCACATTCGACCAACTTGTAAAATATTCTCAAGCAGATATTCCAAAGCCATTTGTTCTCTTTTGAACATGCAGACTTAGCAAAATCAGGTCGAAAACTACTAATTCCTGCAGTATCTAGCATTTGTCGCATGATCCCGAGTTGTTGGGGGGTTGCGTCTTTATGACCAGGTCCATCCTTATATGGGAAGCAGGGATCAATGGGTTCATTTGAGCTAGATACAACAGGATCTTCTATTGAGCTCTGTGTATCTTTGGATGTTGGACTTGGTGGAGGTTGAAGTTGTGATCCTTCCGGAAGTCCTAACAGGGTATCAATGTGAAATCGCATACGATCCTATCATTTGGAAGAAGTTCAGCCATGAATGCTTTATATCCGGTCCAAGTTTTCTAACATATGAAGGGAAATCTTACTGATGTTCGGCCGCCACGTCCTTTTGATCGAGGTGTATCGTGATCGCCACACGTTCCCGCCAACTTGTGGACAAAATTGGTCAAGGTTTTCACATCGTTTTCAAGTGACTCTACCTTCCTGTTGGTTTGAATCAAGAGGATATGTAAAGTTTCAATGTCTAAGGTCTTGCTGTTAAAGCCAGTAGAGCTTTTCAAGTTGTATATATGCAATCACCACAAATAAATATGTCAAAAGTGTATTTTAATCAAAACAGGCGCTTCCAATCACCTGTGTCAGATGATGTAGTCACTTACCTTTCATGCCGCGCATAGTCTTTGGGCGAGTGAGCACGTAAAGGGCTTTGTGATTCATTAATCAATGGTGAAGGGAGATCAGAGTCTTCTTCAGGTATCATGGTATCATTTTCAGTATCTGACCCATCTCGATGTTGGTCTTCTGGATTCCAATCAGAATCGGATAGATTAGGTGATACTGCTTTAGCCTTCCCTTTAGTATCAGTTTTTTTTCGAGTCGAAGTAGCGGAAGATAGGATGGTTGGGCGCGGTCGAGGGTACAAGAACCGTTTATGTTCGAGGCTTGGGAGTAATGAGCCAGATTGGTGAGATTCAGGTGTACTCATGCCCATCTTGTCTAGTAAGCGTTGATTTGGTATCACTGGATAGCGCATGAACATTGTGGACTGTTAATAACATATCCGGGAACAATAATCAGATATATTTGTTAAGACTCACTTTCATTGATAGAACTACCAGGATTTTTGCTGCCCGCCTGAGTATTGACAAGACTTGATGATGAGCTGCTGAGTTTTGGATGTTTCGGATCGGGATCAACCTGCTGTTGTGAAGGCGAAGGGAGGATTACTGTATCAAGCATCTCATTAGCTGAATTCAAGTGCATCATATTGGTCTTTGATCATTCGTACTTAGGTCGGTATAGGCCTTGCAGTTTTTCAATAGGTCGATCCTTTCAAATCCAGTTGTATCTAGTCCAACGGTCTTTAACATCTCGAACAGCTGGCCGTCGTCGAAGTGACTGTAATCAGTCTTCTCGTCTGAGGCTTGGTCGTCTGTGGCCACTTGATCATCTTCAATCAAGAGTTGGGTTTCGGAGTGTTGTTGTCGAGACCTATCTGACTGGCGTGAAAGGGGCTGTGGAAGTTCCGGGGTTGCAAGGAATGTAACAGATTTACGAGCTTTCGGTAGACTCGTGCTCATCTCGCCTAGCAGGCTTTTATTTGGTACCACTAGATATAAGCACAGAAACATTGTCAAATGTTGAGAATGAATCCGGGAACAGTATTTGTATGGTGGTCAAGACTCACTTTCATGGATAGAACCACCAGGATTGCTGGTACTTGCCTGAGTCTTGACGAGAGTTGATGAAGAGCTCCTGCGTTTTGGATGTATAGGATCAGGACCGGCCTGCTTTTGCGAGGAAGAGGGGATGATTACTGGATTAAACATCTCATTAGCTGGAGTCAAGTGCATTTATCAAGCTTCGATCATTCTTACTTAATTCGGTATAGGCATTGCAGTTTTTCAGTAGCTCGATCCTATCAAATCCAGTTGTGTCTAGTCCAACGGTTTTTAACATCTCGAACAGCTGGTCGTCGTCGAAGTTACTGTAATCAGTCTTCTTGTCTGAGGGTTGGTTGAATATGGCGAGTTGATCATCTTGATTCTGTGCTTTTGAGTTTCGTCGAGAGCTAACCAACTGGCTTGAGATGCGGGGTTTTTTTGGTTTGGCGCGCGTGCCCAACAGTTCAAGTAATTTCTCGCGGGTTGTTTTGCGACCAATGGATAACCCGGCTTTCTCAACAAAGTCCTGCTGAGGAGCTGGAAAGAAAGGTCAGACTTTGGTAAGGAACAGACAAAGGGGTGATGTCCAAAAAGAGAAAGTGGATTTCATCAGGAGAACTTACAAGGCTCTGAGTCTGAGTCCGAATCCAAATCCAAGTCTTTTTTTCGCTTGACTGGCTTCTTGGTTCGTGAGATATTTTTGTTGATTTTGGCCACAGTCTGACTACGCAAAATCGGCCTAGTGGTGGCAGGCTTTATCTTGGATCGTGGCATGAATGATAATATGATGAAAACTGACAGGGAAGTATGATGGGGTATGAGAGTTAGAAGAATAAGTTTGAAGTATTTCACAATGATGATAAGACTAGGCGAAAAGGACAAGACCAAGGCAAACATTCATTTATAATATGAAAAGTGGGATGGCAGTAATATCATTTTCTTTGAGCATCCTTTCTCCAACATCTCGATGGTGACAATGAAAATTGCAAGTTGTACCCCTTTCATCACGTTCATGGTGATATAGTAGCTCGCAGACCAACTAATTAGTTGGTCAGCGATGCTTACAATACCTTGGATTCCCCCATCGCTACCACTTTGGTCAAACAAAATCTGGATTGATCCTGCGATATAATGATACGGGTTATCAATATTGGCTTGACTGCACTTCCCTTTCCTCAAGAAATGATGACTTTCATCATTAGGGACCACAAATCCTGTGAATTCTGAGTTCGTGATAGCACGAAGGAAAATGGGACACCGCCACATATCAAACAAAGGGATCTATCACAAATTCACGAGCATCCCAAATCCTTGTCATCGGACATTATGCTTCACTATTACCTCTGATAGCATAGCACATATATGTAGAGAAACTACAACCTTTAGAATCATAATTCACGATATTAGTTGGGAAGCTATAATTGATGTATGCAACTACATGAGGAGTTGGAGCTTCGACATAGATTTCAGAGGGAGTGAGATACAAACTTGGAGTTTGAAGTCATGGGCACTCATCGCTTATGGATCATCAACTTGTGAACATTGCATGTGAAGAAAATTTTCGTATGAGTTTCCAGAAAGTATGATCATGAAGGATATTCAGAGGAGGTGAGATACTGATTTGTATTCTAGAGATAATAGTGAGAGTGAAGATAACTACTGATAGCTCATATAAGAGATACAATACGTATCATCATGATCTTGATAAGATTCTAGTGATATTATCATATCACAAATTTGTAAGAGAAAAATCACAAGTTATAGATGTGGATCTACCAAAATACAACTGGATTGAGAACACACACGTTCTAACAGGATTCATGCAGAGACAGTACTGTCATTGTTACATGAGACTGGATTTTGTTGATCAGAGCTTTCCGATTCTTTGGATGATGAATCATATTGCTCTTCGAGATCAATATGGCTGTTGGATCCTAGTATCTTCCTAAAAATTCTATGATGCGCATCAATGTTGATGCGAGCCATATCCAAATCGTACTGCAGATTGATTCTTTCGGTATCCAAAGTTTCAACTTTGTCCTGAAGTACGGTGATTTCTTCTTTTGCTTGTTCAAGAAGTGAGGTGTTTTTTGCAATTGCATCGGCTGATCAAAGAATTGTACGAGTCAGCTCCACAGTCTTGGTATGGCTAAGGTTTATTTAAAACATGTTTACCGTTTGATTGATGTTGTTGCATTTCCTGGAAAAGACTGTTGCTAGCCTTTTTCTCGAGGATATCAATGGAAGTTTCCAGATGAGCCAAGCGCTCTTCCAAGGATTTAACTATTGTCCAAAGAACATATAATAAGTATCAGATAGATCAAGGAATTAGGATCTTTGTGAGTTAACCTTTCTGTTCTCGTCGCTGCTCCTCTTGGAAAACATCGACACCTGTCTTCTTTTTTGATGGAGAAAAGTGTTCCTGCATTCCGATGGTCGGAATGTCACGCCCAATAACTGGAAATGAATCAGGTGGGTTCAGAATTTATATTGTAAGATGAACAGAGGGATGGTCCACTTACCGAGATTCCCAATATCAAATATTTCTGTATCAGAGAACTGAATGAGATCCAGCTCATCAGTGGTATGATCGTCTTTTGATTTGTTGATTTTTAGCTGAGAAGTCGATGGGTTTGGCGTAAAGAAATCTTTGGTAGTGCAAGGGTTGACAAAAGGCTTTCTTGATTTGATTCCGGGAGCGATGATGGAGACCTGTGGTGAGGGAAAACTGTCTGGAGCACCACTGATATCGACAAGAGGGGCCGATATAGTCTGCTTGAGCCCCTGAAGCTCAAGCCTTTCTTCCTCATCGCTGAGACTTGAAATTGGAGAGATGGGCAAAGGTTGAGGTTGAGGAACGCCAGGAACGCCATCAGAACCAACTGGCTTTAAAGTTCCCCTAGTTTTGATTTTCGTTGACTTTGGCTTCTTGCCGCGCTGCAAATGAATCATCTGGATTTAAACTTTGGGTCTGAAAGCTACATCAAAAGTATACAACATTAAAGGATGGATAACTCACAGATTTCTTTCCTTTAATCTTTGAACTCTCGCCACTTTCACCGAACTCCGCGTCAGTCGCGGCTTTGATTCTCTTTCCGGGTATCTCACCTGTTATCCAACATTTCAACGATGAGTACAAGCCTTATCTGATACACCCACACTGGTCAGATTACCTACCAATATTAGCGATGCGCTGGTTAGGATGAGGAACGTCCAAATCAGCAGATGCAGAACGCTTCAACAGGTTTTCACTCATTTGAAAATGCTGGCCCACAGCGGGAGAGGATACTCGAAGGGATTCTAAACTAGGATACACTTGATTGGGTGGTTGCGTGGATGGGCCAGCGGGTGAATTGGGGTCTCCAAAAACTTTCATTCATGAATTTTGAGAGTATGGGTCAACAGTCACCCATTTCGTTTTGGCAAGAATTGAGATAAGAAGAAATTCCTGACTGACTGTGCGGTTGACTTTTTCTGACAATATCAGCTACCTCGCCTTTGTTAGCCTTGGAGCTTACGGGGGTCTTGGGGTGATTGATGCGAAGCCAGTCAAGCATTATTTGTTTGTTGACTGCTGGGTTGTCGGGGTCAAGTACACTTTCTGAATTGCCTCGACTTGTGGGTGCCAACATAGCGTTTGAAGATTGATTTGATCGAAGAGATAACAGGAACTTGATAACAGGAACTTCAGAGTGAATCAGGATATTCTGAAATTTGAAAAAGGTTAACGGAAGAGATTAGGGAACAGTGGTGAGACTATGATCCAATCAGTGACGGAAGAGAATAATGAAAAAGACGGGATGGACAATAATAACGAAGACTGGTGAGACTATAATGCTCAGTGATATAGTTTAATGTGATAATTGAAGATGTTGAAGATAAAGAGGGAAAAAATAACGAAGATGATGGACGTAAAGTACAAACTCATGGAACACACATCCAAGGTATATTTGTTGTCCATATGAATCATCAATGGATTAGTTGAATCCTATGTGGTTGTCTTTCACGGTTGAAAAGAAACGGAGATGCCATTGTGTATCAAATTACCACTGATTATATAATGGTCTCACCGAGATACCTTTATATTTCCATCTCACATTGACCATAAATTAATTCATATAGTTAGGTTTGATTCTGTGAATTTCCTAGTGGGATAGACAATCAAGATCGCCTTTCGGGATTCACCATAGACAAATGCTGATCTCATCATCAGGGGTGTAGCAACCAAACATTCCGTCATCATCATAAATTTCTACGCTGGTATCGTGGTTCAATCCATGACTTTCTCACTCAGAAGGGAAAGATATAGTTGCCGTGATGATATAACCGCGATAGACCCTGATACGCACTGATACGATTGCCCTCTGCCAAAAGCAAACAAAGCAAACCAAAAACCCAAAGAAACAGATATATAATTCCACGTACGTTGATCTCAGTGTTGTGTCTGCTCCCCCCACCTGAATTCACATCATGATGGTCTGCTCTCTTTGACCGTGCTTGTCATAATTTAGGAATTGAATGATCTTCATTAAAAGTTTGTTTCATCCGCCACTCAACCGCACCTTGATTGATAGTTTGTATTAAGTTTGACTTCTTACATGGTGTGCATCTTTTTTCACCTTTGATTCCCTTTTTCAATCATATCACCTCGTAAAACTTAGAAGTTCATCCTATAGGCTATCGGAATTGTGTTTTCTTCATCGCAGGAGTTTATCAATTGCCAGCAAAACATATCCTGATTAATAGTCTCAACGGGTTTGATCTCACCAAAGGTGTGCACGGTTTTTCCCTTTTTTGTTCATATCATCTTGAAATTGAGAAGTATATCCTTTACAAATCGTATGGTCTCAAAGACTTTTTCATCCGCCACTGCAGCATACCCTGATTAATAGTTTTGGACAGTTTGATTTAACAAAAGGTATGCATTACTTTTCAACTTTGTTTCCCTTTTTCGATGATATCATGTCGTGAAATTGAGAAATACATTCTCTTTCTTTAGACTGACGAGATGCCACCAAGAAACACACGAACTCCTAGCACCAGCAACGGATCACCTCTTAGTCCTCCACCCGGAAATGGAGCTCGTCCAAACCCGGCCTCTACTACTTCCCCTCTTGCGATGTCGTCTCCTCACCATCTCAGGCGACCACCTGCTGACAACCAGGTCTTGAAAAAGGTTCAAAGCCTCTCTACCGACGATCAAAGAATCTTTCTCGCTCATGATTTCGAAAAAGTTAGCAAGAAGCCCACAAAATTACGATATTACAACATTATACACCTTTTCAAACCGGATTCACCGAGAAAACCTACCGATCTCAAGGATTTACTCAAAGATGACTTCATAAAACAAATCAGACCAATACTCAAGCCATACATATTACCGGCCCCTATAGTCTCAATGGATACTGATCAAGAAGCAGATTTCGATCCCCTTGGACGCAGGACTACCCGGCAGATGCTTGTAAAAGCGATTGAACGAAAGTCCACAGAAACTACGATACCCGCTAGTGCCAATATTGATGATGTCCTAATTCTATACAAGCATTACGTTGATTGTGATCTGAAACTTCCCACAAACCAACGATTCATTGCAAGACCTCGAACTGTTCCTATTCAACGTCTCAAGGGTGAAAGTATTGAGGATATTCTTCTTGCTCTGCGTTATTATTGCCCTTGTTTATTTGTTAGATCCTTGGCCATGAACAAGGATACTCTTATGGATATCTACATACAATTTATTCATGACGAACGTCCTCACAGTCCACTCATTCCTGGTTATCATTACACGATCTTGGCGCTAGGGCCCTCAGATTTTGACATTGACACTAAAGTCGAGGGTCAGTTTCAGTCTTCTCTGTTTTTCTTCTTTCATACAGGCAAACAGGATTCAGCAGAACAATTAACATCAAGATTTCTTTCTTATTCTCATCAATTCTCAGGAAGATAAACCATCAAGTGGTGATCTACATCCACTCAAATTCCTTCAATAACAGCAGTGGATGTCAGAAGTTTTCCCCGTTTCTACACATGTACACTGTTCTTTCGCCCTCTTTTTTCTTCCTGACCCCTCTTTTTTGTCTTGGATTAGTCGCTTGTAAAGTTACTCTTCAATTTTCTTCATCAATCAATCTACTCAGTCAACCAACATCGAACCATCACCAAAATATCTTTCTACAACTTTTTTTGCCTAACTTCACTCTATATCACATCTAAAAAGACAAAAAAATTGTGGTCATCGTATCTATCTTGTATTATCAGCCGTGAAATCAAAGTCATCTTTTTTCAAATACCCAACATGCCACCGAGGCAGAAGAAAACAAACCGAGCTCACTGAGTTGTTTGTGTTTGCACAGCTTACGAATGTTGCGATCAAGTTTATGCCAATGCCGATGGACTCTATCACCCAGGCGTGGAGGTTTTACCTGAGACCCGAGCTGCACACCAACATGCCGAATTTCGAAACTCTCTGCTCAAATCACCCCATACTCCTGATCGCTCTACTCATCAATCAAATTCTTCAGCTCAAGATGCCCTCTTGTCTCCGTTAAGAAACTTGCACTTGGTTACAACACCCTCTCCAACACATCGTCATGAGTCAAATCAAGATCAACCAGCTCAGCCTGAAGCCTCTTCCGATATCAATCAAACCTTGTTTGGTGAGGATGATTTGCCCCCACCCAGCAATTCAGAGTCACCAAGTCCATCTCCTGCCGAAAAGATAGCTCAAAAACCTGATCAGTCTATCCCTACTAGAACCTGCTCAAAAGCGGTTTTGGCAAAAGCGTCAGGTCATCAAGTATTTGATTGTGGTATGTGCATCTTCAATCTCTATCTCATCTCCAAAAGCAGACGTGTGAACTCATGTTGAACTTGTAATGCATCTTTCTACTAGATCTTTTCCATACTTTTGGAATGAAAACAACCAATCCACTGATTCTTCATGCTGCTCTCACGGCTGCAATCCTGGACATTTTTGGTCAATCTTCTAACTCGATTACCAAGTGGATTCTCAATATCCAAAGCATTGCTATCGAGCTCACAGCCACCCATGGGATAATACCGACCCACTCAGGTGTCCAGAGTCTTTTGCCCGAAGAGATTCACACCTTGAAACAGATCCCAACATCTGTCGACACTGCCTTTCGATGGTTGGAGGTCAATCCTTCACTTACGTTTATGAACTGCTGTAGTTCTTGCTTCGCGATGTACCCCGAATCTTGTACGCCATCTCGATGTATCCATCGAGTTTCAAGCATCCCTGGCGGTCCTCCTGATTCTACCGATCCAAATAACAACCCAATATCATCTCCTGTGGAAGACTCCGAGGCAGATTTTTCAGAAAAGACCTGCGGCGAGCCTCTCATGAAATACGTCCGTGGTCAGGAAAAACCAGTTCGCCGTTACGCTTTCCAGAGCTTGTCCAATTGGATTTCTCGACTGTTATCTCGCCCTCAAATCGAAAAACATCTTGAAGTGACATCATTGGAATCTTTGAAGCCTCTTGATCCCGATGCCGAAATCCACGATATATATCAGTCTCGAATATGGAAAGAGTTCCAGGGTCCTGATGGCCATCAATTCACCGCTGACTCCGGTAATTTAACTTTTGCACTTTTTGTTGATGCGATCAATCCGTTTGGTAACAAACAGAGCGGACATCACACATCAATCACCTTTGTCATCCTAGTATGTCTTAGTCTGCCTCCCGACCTCCGTCACCAAGCTGAGAATGTCTTCGTGGTCGGAATCGCTCCTGGCCCTCGCGAACCGTCGCTCGAACAAATGAATTGGATTCTTCAGCCGCTTGTCACCGAACTTCAACATCTATGGACACACGGACTACTTCTCTCTAAGACTCACGAATACAACCATGGTCGTCTAATAAGAGCTGCACTGTTGGTGTTTGTTGGTGATATACCATCGCTCCGTCGGTGTCTTGGATTCCCAAGCGCCACTGCAACTTTCTTTTGCTCATTCTGTCTCCTAACTAAGCAGGAAATCAATAACCTTGATCAGAGTACCTGGCCACCGCGTACGTGGTGTCAGCATACAAAATGGGCATGCGAGGCTCGTGATGCAACAACAGTCAAGGAGCGCAAAAAAATATTCAAGACTCACGGGGTACGGTATTCAGTACTCATAGAGTTAGAATATTGGAATATCATCGAATATCAGGTTGTTGACTCGATGCATAATCTGCTTCTGGGCCTCTCTTCATGGCATGTGCGACGTTTCTGGTCGATGAAAGACCTGGAAAATGATGAAGAAAAATTACCACCCATCAGCACCACCGAATTGTTGAAACTTCTTGCTGAGCATTCAGAGCCCTTATCTCGAAATCGATCACCAGCACCTAAAACTCACAAGAACCCCGAGACGAATGATATTTCTATCAATGATACTGAATTTTCAAATGATACATCCTCAAGCGATCAAGACTTCAACCCTTTTGGCGATTCTGGATGGCAGGGCGAATGGCATCCTCCACCACTTGACGAGGTTATCTTTGATGCTACCGTCCTTCGCCACATCAATGCGATCCTTCCCAAAATCCATACCCCGACATGGATCAAGCGCCCAATCCCAGTTTTAGGAAAAGCATCGTTTGGCAAGTTGAAAGCAGATGAGTGGAGAAGTCTGCTAACTTTGCAGCTCCCACTTGTTCTTATTCCAATGTGGTCAGACCAAGATCATGTCAAGAAATCTCTCCTGAAGAACTTCATTCACCTAGTCTCACTTCTCAACTTGGGTCTAAAGCGGATCATGACGACATCACATATCAAAGGTTACCGCTACCATGTTGGAAAGTATCTTGAAAGTTCTACTTTACTTTTTCAGCATTGCAAACTGGCCCCCAATCATCACATGTCTATCCATCTTGCTGATTGCCTTGAAAGGTTTGGCCCAGTACGGGCGTGGTGGTCGTTCCCCTTCGAGCGTCTCATGGGAAAATCCTCAAAGCTGGTCACAATAATCATATCAGTTAGTATCAGTTTGTTCAAGTTTCTTTACTTGTGCGATTCCTTTTTGCTGACGAGTTCTGTTTTCCCTTTTATAGCCGAGATCAAAATCACTTTCCTCAAA